AACTCAGGCCCTTGTGCTTGCCAGGCAAGTGCTTATTCTACTGAGCCATCTCCCTGGCCCCATACTAATCATATAAAGTGTAGTGACTAGGCTGGTGCAGTCACTATGAAAATCAGTATAGAGATTCCTTTAAAAACTAGGATTGGGGGCTGGGGAGATAGCTCAGTGGTCTAAGCGCCTGCTTGGCAAGCACAAAGACCTGGGTTCAATCCCCAGTGCCACATGCCCTGCTGGCCCTGGAACCCCGGGCGCGCTGCACCAACCCCAAAACTAGACATGGTGGCGCACACTTGTAATCCCAGCACTGGAGAGGCTGAGACAGGAGGATCATTATGAGTCTGAGCTTCATAGCAAAAACATGTACCAAATAAACAAACAAGGATTGGAGGTCCCATTTGATCCAGCTATTCCTCTTCCACATATCTTTCTAGAAGAATTAAAAGCATCATACCATAGAGACATATGTGCACCCATGTTTACAGCAGCACAATTTGTAATAACTAAATCTTGGAAACAAACCAAGTTCCTACCAACTGAAAAACTGATAAAAAAAAAGTGTGGATTTTTTTTATATAATGGAGTATTACTCAGCCATAAAGAAGCATATCTGGAGACTTTTAGAGGGATATGGTTTCAACTTGAGACCATACTCATAAGTGAAATAAGTCAGATCCATATGTGTAAACATCATATTGTCTCACTATTGTGAAAAACTGAGCAAGTAAATATTAAGATCCAAAATGTACAACAGATATTGTGAATAGGGAAGAAATTATTTAAAAGAAAAGATAAACTACAATGGGGGACAGATGAAAGGGAGAAAGAGAAAAAGAAAAATGTATATTTATATACAAGATCATTAAGAGAGTTATACAGCTAGTTTCTCTTAGTTCATTGAAAAGCAAGGTTTATACTAATATTGTTTGAGCGAGACATCATGCTTCTATCTTATACTATGCACACAATACACTATTAATTATTATAACTCCCTTATTGACCTGTTTTGTAACTGTTTTATTTTTTTTTCTTTAGGATAAAAAAAGTAATGCCTGATAAGGGTGATATCAAGATGCTACAGGGTATTTCCTATAGAACAAATTCAGTTACCAGTTATTCCTAACAATGAAACAGAACTATGTCATAGTTAGGTTTTCTAACAAAGTCAATGCCTACTTAAGGAAGACTGTTAAGGTCACAGTATCTTTAGTAACATTGAACCTAAACCTTAGCAACTACTTTTTACCCAGTACTTACGGGATGCAGCCATTTTTGTGAAGATAGGAGTCACAATATCTTCCAAGTTTTGCCTCTGCTCAAACAGCTCATTAATGGAAGCATCTGGATGGGTTTCCAACCAGTTATTTTTTACCCGGCATGCATTGAGAATGGTGTTCTAGGAACAGAAATAGAGAATTTACTTTGAATTTATTTACCAAACAATGAACTCTGTAGTATCTCTATTAATCACCTTTTATGAGCATGGAAATTATCCATACCTGCTCTGCCTACAACAATACTTGTGTGATGGAGACACTGAAATTTAAACTTCATTGAATTTTTTTATTATTAATTTTATTGAGAAAGAAATAGCAATGAGACAATTTCAAAACAGGTTAGTAGGACAGTTACAATAATTAATACATTGTATTTGCCTTCATAGTAGTTATTCATAGTACAATATGCAGACATGATATCCTGTCTAAACACTATTAGTACAAATCTCTCTTCTCATTGAACTATGAAAAAGTAGCTGTACATCTATCCTATTTTGTATATACAGATATATATATTTTTTCACTACAAAATGGTCCTTCATTTATATCCCTTTATTTTGTTTAGTTCTATCAGAGATAAGTATTCCATTGCCATTCAAATATTGTCAGTGCATGAATTCAGCAAAGTAATCCAATATAGTCCAGTAGTCCATAATAGCATTGGGTTATCCATAGAACTGGCAATGTCAGAAATTGTTGACTTTTACAGCTCAGCATATTAATATAGCCATTTACTTCTCATAACTTATTTTTATACTTTTCTGCTGGATAGTTAAGACCAAGACAAAGCAAGACTTATATAACAAGAAATGTAACTTCTGTATCTGACAAGTCAGTCAAATCCCCTCAGGATTTACCCCGAAATCCTGTACAGTAGTTTTTAGATCTTTTGTCAGTGTCAGCCATGAGGATGAGTCACGGCCATTGTTTGACCAATATGCTTTCTGTGAAAGCCTGAGAGAATATTTTCTCTCTATGTGACTCTCCTTAGGCACACTCTACATCATCAATCACTTTCCTCTGTGGCCCCATGATCTCCTTGATCAGAAAATTTGGGACACCACTGTGTTATAGGATGCTACAGTACAGGTTCTCTTATGTCCTGGGTCACCACTGACCTTGAAGGGCTAGGGCCAAAATGTTGGCTATCCTTATAGCCCTTCTTTTTCCCTAATTTTTTGATCTGCAAACTTAAGTTGTTAACCCTCCAGAAGAGAAGCTTAATGATATTATTACCCTTTAACAGACAGTTGAGCTTAACATCACTGTCTATCTGAATATCAAACATCTTAGACATAACATGGAACAGATATTGTCCATCAATTGTTAATATGCTAAACTTTAAATCCATACAGAATGTAAAAAAGATGGTAAAAAAATAGAAATAAACAATTACATATTTTTAACACAGAAATTTAGAAATCTAACCATATACAACATTGTAGCAGGACAGGCCTATGACATTTTTTTCTTTTCATTTATTACCTTTTTTTTTTTAAACAAACATTTACTTGAGAGACAGCATAGCAGTAATTGATATGACATGAGAAGCAGTACACATTTAGAAAACCAGAATGACAGGCATTCCAAGCATGGCCTTAGTATCACACATTGCTATCCTCAGTGCAGCTGCTTAGTTCACAGGTATCAGCATATATAGTTAGTCAGGGTTAAACGTTTTTCTAGAAGCTAGTTTAACAAAACACTATTCCTTTGTACCAAGAAAATTTTGTTTTGCAGCTCCCATGACTCTAGCAGCTGTTCTGATAAAACTCATCCTATATTTTGTTTGTTTCACAAGAGATTTTATGGAGTGCTCTTCAGATTCAAGTGCGATGTGTAATTTATCAAATTCTTGATTTGTCTATTTCTTTTTAGCAATAGCTAATTCTTTTTCATCTAAATTATGTCAGAGAAAATTCACAGAGAACTTTTCATAAAATATTTTAAAACTAAAACACATTTGTCACACTTTGACAATATTTAATGTACATCAAAATCAATAAAGTAGTTCACAGGCAATACTTAGATACAGTAATATGGCAAGTTGGCCCTACCATTTCCTATCTTTATACCTGCAACTTTTTCCCATTATGGAAATGTTGATATATTTAAGATGCATAACATATGTATATATGCTAAAATGTATAATGCATACATAAGATTTAAAGTTAAATAATGAAATGAGTATCAGTGGACCCTACTAAGCAATGAAAGAAACTGTTAGTAGTACTAACACAACTTCTGTGTCCCTCCCTGTATTAGTCAACTGTCCTACTGCTGAGACACAATGCCCAATGTCCACAATTTAAAGAGGGAGAGGTTCAATTTAGCTCCAAGTACAGCTCCTCATCTTCAAGAGATTCAGCACACCCCACCCACGCCCAGGCCCAGCAAGTATGTGAGAGAGCTTCTGCACTCCCCTGTGCCCATTGAACCCCTCTGGACCCAGCCCAAACCCGACTTGTGAGTGAGAACTTCCACAGTGCTCTCCAGAACCCTCCAGACCCAGCACAGGCCCAGCATACAGGCCTTGGGTGAAACTGCAGCTGAAGTCCCTGCAAAGAGGCTAAGGGCCAGAACCACCCAACTAATCCAGGAGCAGAATATCTTGGCAGATTCACTTCCAAGAGCTACAGCAGGAAGAAGCTGAGCACAACAGCCAGACCCAAACCAGGCACAACTGGAGGAATTCAAACTTTGTAGATCTGCACCCGAATTTAGTTACAATTGCACCAAATCTCTACACAAAAGGTCAGAAGACAGTGCTATACAAAATGACAAAGAAAAGGAGCAAAATACAATCTCAGGCCCTGAGCCTACCCAGAACAAGAGCAGAGGACACTAGCACAGAAGAAATCAGGAATCACACAGCTGAAATGTCTGAATTAACAGTGTCTGAAGTAAAAAAACAACTGCAGAAAGGTATAGAGGAACTCAGATCAGAAATAACCTTTGAAATAAAAAAAAATCTCTGAATTAATAGCATCTGAACTAAAGAATCAAATGCAGAAACATATAGAGGAAATCAGATCAGAAATAATCTCTGAAGTAAAAGAATTAATAACTGCTTCTCAAGAAGACATTGATTTAAAAAAATAGAGATTAGAAAAATGATGGAATCCTTCAATGAGCAATATAGGACAGAAATAGATTGCATGAAGTAGAGTCAAAGAGATATACAGGAACTTAAAATCTCAATCACAAGCTTACAGGGCTGGGGAGATGGCTCAGTGGAATAAGCGCTTCCCTGGCAAGCGCAAGGGCCTGAGTTCAATCCCCGGTTCCGAAAAAAAAAAAAAAAAAAATCATAAGCTTGCAAACTGTTTGAGTGAAAGTGAAGATACAGTTTCAGATCTTGAAGATGCTGTTGCAGCTAGTAAAGATTAAACTCCAGAAAAAAATAAAGAAACTCTGGTGCAAACAAACAAAAAAAGAGATTCAGTACATGAGCAGTAGACTCTAAGGCAAGAGCATCATGATGGAAGGGCATGGCAAAGCCAAAATTGCTTAGCTCATGGTGGGCAAAAGCAGAACAAAGGAAGAGTTCCAGAAAGGACTGGAAGCAAAATCACACACAGTACCCAAGACCACAATCCAAGGACCAATCCTAGACAAAACCATGAGCATGCTTTACTAAACAGCTAGCCAGCTCTTAATCTAATGAGGTCAACATATCAGAATGAGTGATCGCCATCTGCCCTTTGTCGATATCACCCAAACACATCTCCTAACATAGTACACCTATCCTGAGTGCAACCGGAAATGCAATAATGCCTTCCCCAAACCTCCATAGTTCCAGCTTTTGTCAAATGTCCAAGTCTCTCCTAAGACACAAGGAAAATTCTTAGCAGTGAACCTCTATAAAAATAAAAAGCAAGTTATGCAGTCCTAAAATACAAGGCCACAGATGAAACATTCCCATTCCAAAAGGGATGAACAGGTGGATAGAAAAGAATCAGACCAAAGCAAGATCAAAACCCAGAGGGAAAACATTAAGTCCTGTAGCTCCATGCCTAATATCCAGGACATACGACCTGTAACAGCAGACCTTGGCATCGTCCATGTGATGCTAGTTTGTCAGGTGTGCAGAATACAAAAGTTAGAGAAGCTTCCACCTAAATTTCAGGGAAAGACCTGAGAAGGTAAGTGAAGGGCACCTATGAAGCTACTCGTGAAGCAGCAGAAATGTAGCCAAAGGTGTTGTGGAGACCCTAGGAAATTGGAGATGCCAGAAATACGGAAAATCGATTTTTCCTTTTTAACAAGTATAAAAGAAATTTTTAAAACCCAAATAAAATACTTGAAATTTACAATTCAAAAGCAAATTAGTAGAATAGTAATTATAAAACTATATCTTAATATAGATATAAAATATATAAAACTGACAAAAGAATAGCGCAAAAATGGAAGAATTTTCCTTTACTCCTAAAAGGAAATTATGTTCAAAAGAAGCTGTGAAGGTTCTCAGACTTGGTACGAGCACCTTATCATTGTATGGATACAAGAGCTAAATGTGTCAAGGACTCATTAGTCCATTCAAACAGGGGCTGGGGACACCGCTCCTTCCCCAGGTAGCAGGGTAGTGACTTGGGCCATTGAGCTCCAAAAACACCATAGATACAGTTTTCTGGATTATTGCAAAGATGGTATTAAAGAGGTTTGCTTTGTGCAGACTCTTGGGACTGTTGAACAGTCCAGCCCATTTGGACCCAAAGGCTTTTAGTGTCACTTGACTTGTTCTTTGAAAGTCACTGGTGCTTCAGAAAGGTCAGACAATCCTGCTGAGGTTCCACATGCCCGTCCTTGGAGACAAGGTTTAGCTAAAAGATAGTTTACCTTTAAGATACCAGCAGTTTCCAGTTTGCAGGACACAAACCAGGAAGGCATCCCAAAAACATTAGGAAGCAGAAAATACAAAAAGAAAGGATGGAGTGAGGAGAGTGTGGCCCACATGCTGCTGGGCAGGGCCCAGGAGAATCACTGCCTGAGTGGGCAGGGATGCCTGGTCAGCCTGTGCTCACTGGAACGATCACAGCATGTGATATTGAGGCAAAGACTTGTGGTCTCAGCATGTGATTTCTGGTATAAACTAGGTGGACTTACAGTAAAGGACCTA